AGCAGCTGAGTGAGATGAGTGTGCCAGATGAGAAAATTATTCAAGATCCTCGAAGATATGTATTTCCTCTTCGCCCTCGATTTTTCTCTAGCATCCCGCGCTTCGAATTTAATGAGGTCCTTTATTGATGAATGACATTTATCAAAGTATCTCGGTATCATCGAACCACGTGATCTAACGATATAACGTACTCATAATTCTCTGCTAACTTAACTTAACTTTTCAGCGGAGATTGAATTTAAAATATCACAAAACGGAAAGTAAAAGGATACGCCGGTCTTTAAAATTTTAATTAAAAGTCGACTGAACAAAATATTGATGTTTAATATTTATCCTAAAACTGTAGTACTGCCCGCTCGTTTTAATAAAATTGATTAAATTTTTAATCTTCGATATTAATGTAGATATACGCGTGTAGTTATTATTGATATATTAACTCTTTTTCTTAGTTGTTCAACAAGCAAATAATATTTTTGTTGAGTCTATTAATAATATCAGAATCGTCGTGTATAAATAAATGTATTACGGTGTAACAGAACGTAATAACAAGTTATTCGTTCACATACGTACCTTAAACGATCCGAGATCTTTCACACTGCATGCCAGTTTGACATTTCGTCCTGCTGGTACTGTAATGTTTCCTATTTCGTCGACAAATTCAGGATCAGGAATGGTGGTGGCTAGAAAAAGAATATTAAACATTAAAGCACACGCATTCAATATGAAGAATATAATTAAAGAGAATATAACATAGAATATAATTTTATAATAATTAAAAGCTAGAATATTATTATTATTGTTAAAATTACGAACAAACTTCTAGGTGTACAATAATTAACTAAATTTTGTGTACATTTAATTTCAATAACCTTACAAGTGATAAAATTATGAAAATTACGTTAAATGTTCAAATCATATTTCATAATTCGCGGTACTGTTTTACAGCATATTATTCGTACAGAGATAAACCACTACAATCATTGTCACATGAAATTTTAATTAAATTTTAATAACGGTTATGGCGAAGGACAGTTCATATGCCACGCCACAATGCGACAAAATCTTGCGCTAAATTTACCTGACAAATATGAGACAGTTTCAGAATCTGTCAGACATCGTTGGGCTTTGGAAGGCGGACGAACTCGATCGACGAAAATCCGATACAAAGTTCGACGGCGGAATTTTTTGAAATCACAACGTCAGTGAGTTTCCACGAGTGCGCCAGGGGCAGCATATACTATCCGTGCATCCCCCGACGTTGCTTCACTTCGGAAAAGGGGGATCGATCGATCTAGCGGGGGGGGGGGCGATGTACGCGTGGCTGCGTGGATGCGCTTTGAGTTATAGAAGCTCACCAGTCGGCGTGACAGCTTAGTTATTGAATACAAAATGCAATTTTTCAAGTCTCTACGTACCCGCGGTATCCCGCACCAGCGTCAGTCCCCGACCCCTTCACCCCCATCCCCTGCCCCCGCCCCGCCCCCGCTCCCGCTCCTGCCTTCGCTCCGCCGTCTCGGGGAACGTGGCGGTCCTTCGCGTATGCGGTGATCGAATCTACGAGAGGATTTCGAGATGCTTATATGGAGATCGAACTTCCGCCCATCTGTTCCGACACTCGCGATCGCATTTCCCCGTTCTGCGTGATGTTACTCCATGCGTGAGGCTCGTATTTGCACAAAAGTGCCACGCGTAGGATACGAATTCGTATCCGGTCGCATGTCGCGAAAACAAATTTACACGCGATATCACTTTGTTGCTGTTCATACGATATTATGTCGAATTACGTGTACAACGATTGTCATCCATCTCTGTTCCTTGGGACACGAGTTACTCTGCACTCGGAGGAAAAAGGTCGTACCGGCAACTAGAAATTTGTAAGCGCCTCAAAACGCCTCAAGTATATATAATAAATTATAATAAGAACAATCAACAAGTTATATGGATCAAAAAATATAGTGATATTAATCATCTGTAGTGAAACGTTAGATAACAAACTAATGTAAAATGCCGTTTTATATATATATATATATATATATATATATATATATATATTATTTATAT